TGGAAAATGCTAAAACAAAATTTCGCACAAGTGAAGCTAGGATTTTGTGAAAAGGAAATAAGCAACACTCAGCGGTGTACTACAGTCCTCATAGGGAAGTCTGATGATGTCTTAAGTATTTGAACAGTATTAAATCTATAAATATGTCGAAATTCAAACAATCTCAATTTAGTTGTTGTTGATTGAATCGGATATAAACACTGTGAATCTATCTGGAGCGTGAGTATAGAAAGAATTTTTTCATGAAGGCGATTCTGGAAAGATACCATCTTTAGAGAGCTATGATCGGCAGAAAAGTCGATTTGAGCTTGCGACGCACACTAAAAAACTTGCTCAAAGTACTCCATCCAATGTCCAATTTATTGCAGGGTTTATCCAATAAATCCATTAGCTTTTATAATAAACTCATACATTGTTGTGCCTAATCAGCAGTTTTCCACCAGCAGAAAGAATGATGCATTGTAAGCACAAATAAATTTATGTTATAGCATCAATATTTAATGGCATACCTCTACGCACAGGTACAGTTATACAAAGTATATAAATACATATATACAACCGACGGAAAAATGTTTTATAGGTCATCCTTTGTTTATTACATTTTATTCTCTATTTGGTAAATGGTATGCAACCGGAAAACATACAAACTATATAACAACAACTGCTGACATACTATGAAGGTAAATAATACTTTGTAAATTTACAAGCTGACTGATTGAGGTCCATTCTAATTTTGCAATAACATTTGCTACAATTCTATTTAAATACGAATTTCAATAGATTTGCTGAAGTAAGGCATCAGGATGATGCTAGGCCAAACTTTTTTTCGTGCAAAATTAATAGGCAATTTTTTTGCTTTCCAAAACTCTGCAACTGAGAAATGTGCTGCTATGCAAATTTCAAACAGAATTTGTGCCTATTGATTTTAAAATACATAATCTTTTTTTTTATAAGGTACACCGCGTGTGCAGCCATGTTGACAAGTTTTAAGAACTTATTTTTACAACGCTTTTATCAACTTGCAATGTTGTGTGTCCAGAAACTTTCAATGTTGTGGATCCAGAAACTTTCAATGTTGTGTGTCCGACACCATAAAACCTTTGCTTTGAAAAGTTCCGCATAGTGCATAGGGCGACATCTGTAGTGAATAGGGCGAGGTAGATGACATCTAGATGTCGCCCTATGTACTACGTTTGCTACAGCGGAAATAGACGACACGCCATTTCTTTAAATAAAATTAATTGGTGCTCGTTTGTATGTACATACATATGTAAATGCATGTGTGTGCACCTTTCTATTAATATCGTTGATTTATTTTAATATCTATTGCAAAATTTTATTCAGACAGGACTAAAAAGTAGAAAATAAATAATATAAAAAAAACTTTTTAATATACAACGCTTTTATAAATGGACTAAAAAGTAGAAAATAATATTTCTCAGTCCCATAGAATTTGTTTTGATAACTTTTGATTTTGAAATTTTAGCAAAAGTCATTATAAACAATCTATGAAATTGAAAATGAAAAGCGTGGGGCGCATGTAATACACTTGAATTGATATGAAAAGTAATATATGTATGTATGTATGTGGGTATATGAATAACGACCGCTTAAAATCGATTTCAAAGTTCTACTTTCGCTGTAGAAATTTTAGGTCTACGTTATGTAGTTTGACTATTGTCAATTAAATCGAATGCTTTGTATTGCATGCGCTCCACGTTTTTCATTTTCAATTTCATAGATTGTTTATAATGACTTTTGCTAAAATTTCAAAATCAAAAGTTATCAAAACAAATTCTATGGGACTGAGAAATATTATTTTCTACTTTTTAGTCCATTTATAAAAGCGTTGTATATTAAAAAGTTTTTTTTATATTATTTATTTTTGTTTAATTTTCGTTATTATTTTTGTAAATATAGTTTATTCTTAAACAAAACCCGTATAAGTCTAATTTTCAAATTTTTTGCAGTATTAAAAAAAAGCATCAAACGTGAATGTGTAAAAATTTCAAGCTTTTTTATTTTATTAGATATCTTAGAGAGATTTTGTGTGTGCAATTTTGTAGCCGATTTTGTTATCGATTCTGGTACAATCAAGTGTGAGTTTTAAGTAGGACTTACCGTTGATTTTTGGCATTTTTTTCCGAAGGTGTTGCTCATTTTCTTCCCTATAAAAAAATCGCAGAACATACTTACATATTTCGTATGGAACAAAATACACAACACCGTTTGCTAAGGCGTATGAGTAACCAGTTCACAAGTACTGAAAAATTGCATATTTTGCTCTAAATCGACCAGTAAATTTGTGGATATGGTTTACTAATATTTTACGAAAATAATGCAATGCAATAAATTTTCAGTGAATTAAATGAACTTAATAAGAAATTCAAGTACCAGGTCCACTTTTTTCTCAAAATTTTGGTTTTGGTCCCAAGTCCACTTTTTTTCAAATTTAGGTAGCGATATATTAACATGTAGTAAAAAAAATATTTTTAAACCTGTTGTTAGATTAAGCACATTTGGTCAAATTTTTTCTTGCTTCTTTTATAACTTTTGAACCATGGTAAATATTGATTTGCAATTTCAGCTCACATGGTATTTCTGTATAATAATGTTATGTCCAAAAATGCAATTGTCTGACATAATGCAGGACTTTATTTACGATTAAAATAACTTCATTATTTTGCAGAGAAATACTCATTTACAAACAATATACGCGACAGCATTTTTTTAATGCAATACATGTAGGAGAGTTGCCACTTATTTAAAAAATTAAATTAAATTTAAATTAAGATCAATGTGTAATTGAGGTGTGATTAGAATTTGGGTATTACACGAAAGAGATTTGAAAAGATTTAAGTTAAAAAATATTTTTAACAGGATTGCCACCTGTTGGAAAAGTCGAATTTAATTCTGATATAACAAGTTATATGGAATAATGAATTACGAAAAGTGTTAATAAATATCTAGTATTCAGAGTTTAGAATATATTTAAGATGTCTAAAGAGGGTTGCCACATGTTTGAAAAGTTAATTTGAAACATTTTAATAGGTTAAATGAGTTATTAAAAGATGGATAAGTTATTCGAGATATTAAAATACGGGATAGTGTTAAGAAAGCTCTACTTTCAATAGTTGGAATATCTTTTAGGTATTTTAATAGGGTTGCCACATGTTTAAAAAGTTAAATTTAACTTAAATTGCGGCAGTTAGATAATTGAAAATATTTCGAAGAGGATTACCACCCATTCGAAACCCCGAATTCAATTAAATCATGTTCACGTAATTATGAAATATTAAAAAATGGTAGTCAAACATTTGTAATCAATAGTTTCGAGGTATTTGAAGAGGTTTGCCACCGGTTTAAAATGATTCATTAAAGTTTGGGCTTTAACGCCATGATATAGTAATAATTGTAATAGAGGAAGAAGAAGTTTCGCTTCAGTCGCGGAAGGGATCCATACATAACTTTTTTTTTTAATATTTTCGAACAACCATATTTAAGTTAATAACATTCGAAAAGAATAAATAGAATATAGTAAATATAAAAAAATATGTACCTGCAAGATTTATAACTGGGATTTTTTGGAGAGAAAAAGACTTACTTCTGACCAAGCCTTTAATAAGTTTTATTTTATTGAAATTTCAGAGCAGAATTGGCTTAACCCAATTTTTTTAATTTTTTTTTATAAATTTTAAAATAACAATCATTTATTCCTTAATTTTCAGATACAGATACAGAAAATGTATCACTTTTGAGACTATTTTAAGTAGGTAAGTACAAACACAAATTTTTCTGGTTAGGCCATTTCTGCTCTCATGGCCTCATTTATGCTATCAAAAACGTATATTAAGAAGAGTTTTGAATTTAATCCGTCAGTTTGATGTTAAGATTTTTCGCTATTTCTGAGAAAAAAAAAAAGGCTTTTTGTGCAGGTATTCTTGATACTGTCCGTAGTGAATATTTATCATTTAGAGGGCTAAACAAAAAGCTTTTTAAATTTTTTTTTGCAACAAGGGCTGCTTCTTTTAATTATTAGCAGACAAATAAGGATAATTCAGACCGTTTAGGTTTTCAATTGATATTAATATAATTTGGCAATATTTTTCAAAATTAGCCACTGTATAAATAGTTTTTATAACTAAGTGACATTTTTTACTTTAAGACAAATATTTAGAAAAAAATCTGACGTTAAACTTTTTCAATACAGTCCCAAATCAAAAAGTGAAGTCTTACACCCATCGGTCGTCAAGGGCTAAGATTTGGTTTTATGTACAACTGTGAGAAATCAAATGCAAAGAATTAAGAGATTAAGCATCGAACAAAAGGCAGTATTGCCGGATTTTGAATTTGAAAAAGCATCACAGTTTGATTGGTGTATTTTATGGACTTTATATGCATACATAATTTTATTGTAAGGATGCCGATTCAAATTAATACAAATCAATGTTTCTTGCGCGACGGTCGATTTCTTCTGGCATGATTGAAGGTGCTGCCACACAGTTGCTTACCACACTTACGATTGTTATAAATTTTGCTTCCATTTTTTTAAGATTTTCAAATTTTGTGTCTTCAAACTAAAAACAAAAGCACCAAAAACGCATAAAGAATGCATTTTGAATACGCACCAAATTCGGTGCTAAAAGCACCAAGTTGGCAACAGTGAATATAAACAAAAGTACTGTGTGACGTCATCGAATGGGTGGATGCTGTCAAATCGATGAGGAGAGAGTTTCAGGGTGAGGGTATCAAATTAGCCATAGTGCACTGTAGAACTGACCCTAGAAACGTATTTTTCTTAATAAAACAACATATTTCACACATTCATTGGAATTTTATTCATTTTATTTAGTTTTCTTCTCTTGCGTATTTGTAATTTTATTATCATTTAATATTAACTAGTTTTGTTTTTTTAATGTCAAATAATTTAAGCTACAATAATCGTTTCTGCTTTAATTCATCATAATAATCATAATTCATTTGCTGTTTTTTTTATTTCCTTTTTCGTTTATTTGGACTTTTATTCACTTATGTAGTAAAATCTTTGTTTATTTGTTCTTTTTACGACACTGATGTAAAATTCTTGAAGAATTCCATTTAAAAAAGTACAAAAACGATGCTGAACACTTGTGATTGCAGATGACTTGTTGTTAAAAGGAAATGAAAACTAAAAAATAAAAATGTTTTTACGCTTGTAAATGATTGAACTCAAAAGCAGAGAGAGAGAGGAATTCAATATACTAGGCTTGAGTAGAAAAACAAGAGCAAAAGCGAAAAACAAACGAGAAAATGGACTAAAGCTATCACAGAATAAGAAAGCAGTGTAATGTCGAGAGCAAAAAATCGAGTAAGTATGTAGTAGCCACTGTAATGCACTGTAGGTATGTATGTAAGTAACTACGAGAATAGTATGTATGTATGTATATGAATGTGGGTATGTAAGGAGTTTTCGAAACAAATCAGGTACTTAAAAATTTAACATGAATAAATGCATAAGTATGTATGTATGTATGTACGTAACTACAATAATCGTAAACATTCAACAATTAGCGCGAAACATATTTATATGTATTTGATGGAGACCCTTCCTTACTATAGCTATAGCTTTCATAGTTATACCTAAGGAACTAAGATGACTTGTTGGTTGTGGCGGATTGACAGAATGAATGGATAAAATGTAACTGCAGGTGTATGTTTTTTTTTTCAGTTTTTATATGTGTGTGTGTGTGTATGTGTGTTTTGCGTTTAACTTAAACATACGCGCTAAATTTCACATATTCGCTAAATGTATATCCTAAACCAACTACTAAACATGTTTGCCACATAATATTCGTGACTGTTCTGCGAGCGAAATTCGATAGTGTTGCGAAAATTTTCACCGTACTCCAATCGCTGAGACCAGCTGGATTACGTGTTGCTGCACGTACCAAATATGTAGTATTACGATCCAATCCGTTGAGCACAAAGCGGCCACCTAGACGGAGAGAGAGAGAGAGAATATGACGAGAGAATGTGTAAATACCATATGAAATTACACAGAGATCCTAAACAATTGCAGTTAGTTAGTACTCAATAAAGATTACTTTACATACACATGTAATTAATTATCCAAAACTTAACCCTTTCAATCCTATTAGCCGAATGTTGATCGTATCGTTTCCAGATAATTACCGCATATTCTAAATGAGACCTTACAAGATACGAAAAAAGAAGCTTACAGGTGTATGGATTAGAAATCTCAGAGGTATTATGTCGTAGGAAACCCAATACAGAGTGGGTATGCTTTGGAAAGAATAAAATTAATGTGAGTAGGTATTAAATGAAAATTTTGCCCCAAAAACTACTCCAAGACATTTAGTCTCTGTTACAGCGCCGGTTAGACAAGTATGGGTAATCCATTTCAGAGGAGACGAATGGAAGCCTAGGCAAGCTACCTTATTTATCAGAATCCTCTATCGAACGCCTTAGAAAAGTTCGTATATACGCAGTCAACTTGCGAAAACAGCCGAAAATGGTCTCGTTCAGGGTCTTCGTCTTATTTCCGCTTTTGGTGTTAATCTTTGTCTTAGCCTTAGCCTTAGTCTCAGTCTTAGTATTAGGCTTTGTCTAGGTCGTTGAATTAGTCTTGGTTTTTGTATTGTTCTAAGTCCTAGCCTTCTTAGTTTCGGTATTGGTGTTAGTCTTAGTCTTGGTCTTGGTATTAGTCTTGGTCTTTGCCTTAGTCTTGGTCTTGGTCTTAGTTTTAGCCTCAACCTTAGTCTTAGTCTTAATCTTGGACCAAGTTGTGGAATTGATTTCTTTGAATTACTTATTTTAACTAAATACTTACCTACTTATTCTAAAATGTTTACAAGTCTATAAGTTTATACACACATCACCTTCTTTCCACCACACCTTTTTCACCACTTACCTCGCTGAAAATGGTAGTCCTTATGCTTGGCATAACTCCAATTACCCGCGCTGTGCTTAAAATCGCCTTCGCTCATATATTGCACCCGATAACCGAATGTACGCATATTCTCCTCAACATTGGCATATTTCTCCGATCTTATGTCGAGGTCAAAGCCATCGGTGAATGCGCGTCGCAATTGAAAGCGCGATGGTCCGCTGGGCTTCTGTCCCTTTCGCAGCTTCACTATGCGCTCCAACATGCCCAACGGATTGGCAACTTTGCACTTATAATCGCCAAGTTGTGATTCATTTCGGACGTGTATCTGTAGCGTTGAGCCGTAATCGGCATAGAAAATGCGATAATTACGTCCGGTAATGGCACGACCCTCATGCACCCAGGTGAACGAAGGTGGCGGCTCACCCATTGCATCGCACGAAATATTCACCATACCACCGATGTACGCATATTGAACCAATGAAGTGTCATTATCGAACCAGTGGGGCTTATCTAATGGATGCAAAGTGAAGAATGTTGGTGGAGTGGTAGTGGGGAGTATAGAATGTCGCACAGGAAAAGTAGTAGGATGGAGAGGAGGTGAATTTGTCAAAGAGAAAGAACGTTGAAATTAATTGAAGTGAATGCTAGTTTCGAGAGAATTGCAAATATGATTAGGTGAACTATGTACGGGTGGTATGCAAAAATTTGTATATGTACATTAAAGTGGTCCAAAAATTTATGTGAAAAAATTATGTCGAATTTTTAATGCCGCCACCCCCTAGGATTGTTCTATACTGAAAAAATATACGCCTATTTTTTTATTTTGAAATAAAAAAAATTTAGTGAGTGCTCAAAGCGCTCAAAGTTTTCCATGTATTTTATATGGGGAAAAACAACTTATCGTAGAAATAGTGTAGAATTCTTGAAAATCAATATTTTTCGATCCGAAAACTTTGCTTATCTTCAGGAGATTCCCGCTAATAATATCCAATTGTTTCTTTAACATTTTTTCAATGTAACTAAGTATATTTTATAGGTTCTCCAAACCCCCTAATAAATGCAATGGGGGACCAATAAAAAATCTTTAATATTATTAAATAAACGATTGGATATAAATATTAAAAGTCTGCTGAAGAGAATCACAGTTTTCCGATCAAAAAATATTGATTTTCAAGAATTTTATACCATTTCTATGAAAAGTTGTTTTTCCCCCATATAAAATACATGGAAAACTTTGAGCGCTGTGAGCACTCCCTTACTATTTTTTTTTTAAATAGGGGTATATTTTCTGGGTTCAGAACAATCCTAGGGGGTGGCGGCATTAAAATTCCACCTTTTTTTTGGACCACTCTAATGTACATATACATATATGTATGTCTAACTGCACATACATATGTGCAGATGTATCTGTTTATTGCTTACGAATTTAATATATTGGTAATGGTGATAGGTTAGAGTTTGTGCATTTAGTAAGTATTTTTAGTTTTTGATATTTGAACAATGCTTAAGTAATTTAGAAAATTTATCAAATGCAACTCTTTAGTTCACACGCACGCACGCACGTAAAACAGGATTCAAAGTTGGTCGTACAGTGTCATACATATGTACATATTTAGGCATGCATATATGTATGTAAGTATATGCATGCATTTGGACTGAAATCCATTTAAGCATCAGTAGCAACTGCCAGTCAGTTTAATAAAATCCCTCTGCTCTAAATTTGCCTTCAGCTTATTCATCTTCTCAATCGCTCAAAGCGCATTCACATACGCATGCACACATTCTAAGGACACCCTGCACGAAAACAATTAGGCTGGTGTCCGTATGTAAAAGTCTGCATCGGTAGGCAAATTGATTTAATACCGAAACCACCAACAAACTTGCGAAAACTTCCAAAACAGGAGCAGAAAATGCCGATAATAGCACCAAAAATGCCCCAAAAAAAATTAAAAATTATGAAAAAATTATTAATCTCAATCTAAATTTTAATCTTAATCGTAAACTTAGTATTAATCTTAATCTGAATATTATTTCTTATCTTGATTTTAATCTTAATCTTAGTCTTAATCTTAAACTTAATCTCAATCGAAATCTTAATTTTAATCTTAGTCTTAATCTTAATCTTAATCCTCATCTCAGTCTAAATCTTAATCTTAATCTTTGTATTAATCTTAACCTTAATTTTAGTCTAAATCTAATTGTTAATCTTAATCTAATAGATTAACAGACAAACACTTTTAGGCACCCTGAATGAACTTATACTGGGATCCTTAAATTGGGTTGAAAACTGCGCTGTTACCAGCGGCTTAGGTGTAAACTTAGCTTGTTGCTTTCACAAGGACATATAAATTCTCAAATTTTCAACCTCCATTAATGGCTCACTTTCGCTCTAACGTTCTCTGAATGGCTGAAGCATCTGGTCTTGATCCTTTACAATACCCTGGAAGCTGAGTATCGAGGAAAAAGTAAAGAATGCAAAGATCTGTCTCAATTAAAATCTGTAGGGCACTTGATAATGCCCGAGAATACATGTAACTAAATAGCATACATATGTACAGCGGCAAATCGTGTTCGCTTCGTATATCCTATGAAGCTTCGAGTTCACGGCGGATCTGAGTCCGAGTAGATTTTTCACCACCCACATCCCACCCAGTGAAGCTGACGAAGTTGAAAGGAATGTGGAGTCGTGCTCCAAACACAAATTTAGGTTACCCGTTCACTTTAGTTTCTGAACGTTTTCCAAGCAGATCAGTTGGACCTTTGACAGTAAACAATGCTTATTTGGGTTGTTGTTGTTGTAGCGGCCAAGCCTCAGTGATATCGCAGGTTTCGGCTGGGCCGATGAGCTAACTAGGAAGGATACTCTTGTCGCTAAGAAAGAGAATGAGAGGGCTCCAATGGCTTCACGTGGTTTCCTTCTGGACACATGGGCTCTAAGGCCGAGGCCACGCAATGAACGGCTGAGCGGCGGGCAGTGAGCGGCGCCATACAAAAATGTCGCTCAGCCGATCAGAAATGCCGTTAATTGCGTGGCCACTTCAATAGTATTTCATGTGTATGTTTTAATTTTAAGCCGCTCACCTCTCAGCAGATCATTGCGTGGCTTCGGTCTAAGGCTGCTCAGTAAAACCTCGCAATGCCAGATGGCTAGCGGCTTATTTCCACTGGTAAATCGCCGGCGGTCAAGTCTGCTATTAAAACTGAACAAACCATAGGTTTAGGGTATTTCTGAAACTCTTTGGTTTTCGAGATTTTGCAGGAAGTTTTTGGATTCTTTCGGAACTTTTCGCAATACTTTGTCCTTTTAGGGATCTTTCAACTTTAAAATTGAGAGCAATTGAAAAGAGAGAAAGCCTCTAATAACAGTTATGTTGAGATCGAGAAAATAAAATTGTTATTTTACGGCGATATCAAACTGAAAATCTTTCAAAAACCGGTATTTGTAAAAAAAAAAAAACAGAATCACAATTCTGCCTTTGTATAAAATAGCCCAATCGAATTCCTACCGGGTTTCTCTTTCAGTACACATTGTATGCATGTATGAAAGTGTGCAACGTGAACTCTCTATACCTTCTAGCGGGGATTTAATGTAAAACTTCTGTTGCAAACAGTTTTGCTAAAAACTTTTGCTCCAAGCACCGAAATGCAATTCTGCCTACATTTTGTAACTTTTGCCTCCACATCGCCACACTCATACAAATAGCTTACGATGCATCCCAGCCAGCAGAGGAACGTATGTAAGTTTTGCCGACAGTGGTTTCTTTTCCGGAAACGAAACGACTTCAATTTTCGTTCATTTTCATATCCGAAAAACCGTCGAAAAAGATTTTGCTATTTGAAAGCAAAAATTTTATTTTATTTGTTCAAACTGAACAGTTGAAAGCGTCTACACGTATTCGACACTGACTGAGTGTGCAGAAGAGGTGCTGCGTTCGAATGTTGCCAGAAGCAAAAAAAAAGATTCGTTTTACTTTTCCGAACTATGAAAAAGCATCTGTGAAGTACAGAAGAAAACGTATTAAACGAAAAATTCAATCAGAAAAACAGCCAAAAACGTATCCGGTTCACGACCATTTTCGTTACATATGTATATACTTTTCTGCCGCATACTTTAGTGGAAAAAAGATCGTCAAAGCATACGAAAATGGAATCGGTAAACGGGCAAAACTCCGCATTTCATTCACTTTTCTTTCCTTTTTCGAATCCATTTTCGGATTTTGTGCTAGCTGGGATCACATGCATACGTAGTATATACAAATAAATATATAGAACCAGAGCAAAATATCGTTTCACCCAATCCAATCAATTTGTAAAGTGGTGAGTGAGTGGTGATCCAAGCCCAACTACTCACAACAACTACATACTCGTACATTGCGGTAGTGTATCTTCTTGATGATGATGCCGATAGCATTGGTAGAGTTGTTGTTGTTGTAGTTGTTGTAAGAGTAGTTGCTAGTTAGTGTGCATTGGAAATGCAAAATTCACTTTGCTGCTAACTAAAGTGAAGTGGTGGGGTACACCAGCCTTAACCACCAGCGCCATCTATGAGTACCAAGAGTGTTACTCTTCGTCCCTACATATCCTCTTACCCATTCTCCTTGGCACGCTTTGACAATGTCAAAGTAAGTGTATGAGCATTCGCCTTTAAAGTTTCAGTTTCATTTCATTAGGCAAATGCGTTTGCGGCATTCCTGCCTGCTCGATTGCCCGTGTGCCCCTTTGCCTGGTTACCTCTTGGCCTAGTTGCCGCCTGTGCGCTTGCCTTTGGTCCCACTGCTTATCCATTCATTCCTCCTACTTGCCTGCGTTCGTCTAAAGCTTGTTTATCGTTTAACTGCATACTTTAAACCAAAGAAAAAAAAAACCAAAAAATGCACTGGCACTGTTAAAACAAACGGCAATATTTTCAAATCCGTTTCATTTTGTTCTATACTTTCACAAAGTTTACTAAGGAAGCTACAAATTTGCTAGCAATTAAAACTGTATTTGAGGATAAATCAATTGGGTGAACGCATTTGAAAGTGTTTTTTTATATATGTTTGTCCTATATTTGTATGTGTGTCTATAGGTATGCGAATATGCAGCGCTTCAACGGGCATTAGGTTTTAATTTTATAAGGTTTCATTAGAGCTTTGCATATTGGGGAAAAAATGCAAAGAGGTAAAAAAAGGAAAAAATATTTTTTTTAAGTATTTCTGCCATAAAGGAAATAAAAAAAATGCTTTTTCATTGCTCCTTTCCTTAAACCACTTGTTTAAACTACAGGTAAATTTTATTTGACGTAACTTAAAAAGATTGTCTTTAGTGAAATTGTTGGAGGTATACATAAGTTGAGTACCGTTGAGTTGAGTCACCGAAATTCATACGAACAACTGCTGAGCAGCATTAAGAGAGCTGCAGCTGGAAGTCTGTGAGGATACTCTTTATTATCAGTCATTCTGCAGTAGATGACAGTGTTGAACAACGCAGGCTTCCTGGCTGTATAACTAAAGTAAAATGCTTTGGCAGGATATTTTTCGGGGAATTGTATCATAACTACGGTGACCATCCGTACTTTATTTATTTCAAAGGACAGTCTATTTAGTAATTTATTTTAAAACTTGTACTTTGGAATTTTTTTTTTCGTGATTCGATGACAGACATGAATACATTTCATTTATTACAGCCTAGTATATACGAATTGCGAAGTAAAAGCATAGAATACAAACAATTTGGAAAGCTCATCCTTGTCGTTTACCTTGCAGAAAATGAAGGTTGTGCAGATTGGTTCCCTTCCATGCCAATATCGTTTCCAGGAATATTTCCTTGCCCGGGAACCCAGACCACATGCTTTACGCAACGCGTAGCGAAATCGATTATAACCATTCGTCCTTGAATTGCTATTTTCGAAGAGGTATTGTTGCACTATAGATATTAAAACGAAGAACTCAGGGTAGACGGTGATGCAGTGTTCTGTTATAGGAGAGATGTCTTCATTCTATCTCTTAATTTAGCTTAGAAGGCACTACAGTAGGTCCGTGGGTGTTCATAGCGAAAGTATTGGTATGCCTGTCAACAAGTTCTGGCGCAGCTGCAAGGATTCGAACTAAAATAATACATCGAACACTTTTTCTGCGAGTGCCCGGCTATTGAAAGAAGGATGCTAAATACATTTGGTCAACCATATCTGTAGAATATTTTAGAATGCAGCCGCCTCTCTCTCTCTCTGCGTGGTATACTAAAGTTCATCAAAACCGCCAAATGGCTGTAGGCTTGTACGGGCAATGTTGTTTCAAAATGGCTGAAATTTCCTTTGGTGACAATCTAACTCTAACCAACCTTTGACCGGCTCTAGCCTACCGGTGGTCGGAAGGCGACGCCCACAAGCACGAGAGCAGACGATATTTCGCCATGAAGCCACCCACTCCTTGGGACAAACTTGCTGTCTCATTGTCCTACGGTATCGCTGTGGAGTGGAAACCATAGGAGCTTGGTAGCGGAGTAATTAGACGCGATCGAGAGATAATTAAAGAATTTCCTTACCAATTTCGAATTGCCACCTTCTTGAAGGTAAATTCTTTTCTTTTCAGCGCCGATCTGCGCTTGGAAAATACTTCAGCAATACGAGTGTATAAGTTTAAAGTTAACACTTCCATCTACCTTTCCCATGAATTTGGAACTATTTGTGAACAAGTTCACTAATCCATTTTGAAAAATTATTCTGCATTGGACTAGCTTAAAGGTTTTTAAAATTCCGGAGTATTGTAGTTAGAAATAAACTTTGCTTTATTAAGCAAATGGGAGCGGCTTACAGTAGCAAGTACTTAGACGATTCTCCAATTTACGGCAAGAAACCTAAACTACCTAAACTATTTAGTTAAAGTTGGACTTAGTCATGCCGATGTCAATGGGTACAACGTTTAGAATTGCAAACGAAAATGTTAGGGTGATCCGTAGTAACATACTGAGCTCTTTCTTCTACGGTTTCTGGTTTGACTATTCTTCTAAATACATTAGGGTGGTCCTTAAACTCAAATCAACGCTTTTTTCAGTCTCACCCGCTCAATCGGTAACAACACGGTCACAGATATCACATATAAATTTTGGTCCCGATAGAAGACATTTAAGGCGTGTCGCACAGGGGGCAAAATTCAGATTCTTCTATGGAGACTCAAAAAATTAAAATAATTTTTTTTTTCATCTAATACCCAAAATCGATACTACCATAGTCGAAAATATCACATATAAATTTTGGTCCAAATTGGAGTCGGTTAAGACTTCTTTACAGGGTAATCTGAACTTTGACCCCTGTGCGACCGCCTTAACCGACTTCAATTGGGACCAACATTTGTGATATCTTCGACTATGGTGATATCGATTTTAGAAATTAGATGAAAAAAATTAATTAAAATTTTTTGAGTCTCCATAGAGGAATCTGAACTTTGCGACACGCCTTAACCGTCTCCAAATGGGACCAAAATTTTTATGTGATATCTTCGACTATACTTAGTAGCATCGACGTAGAGGCTGATGTAAAAATTTGCTTCCTACATTTAAGGACCACCCTAATATACATAAATAAATGAATAAAAATTTATTTTCACTTGAATTTTCACTCCTCACGAATACACTTCAATCGATGGTTATGTATGCCTCCCGACAATGGAAGCGCAACTCTAGCGTGTAATGGGTGACTGGGAAATTCAAATATATATATATATACATATACATTTCTATGCATCCACCTGTAAATCACGATTTTCAATTTCAACTATGTACTCGTACAACTAACAATAAGTTCAAAAGTAGTTCTGGTTTGTTGGCTGCAGACGAATGCTGCATGGGGATGCATAATTTTGTATTCATTCAAAGTGTTTTTTTTTTTTTTTGTAACTATGGCAACCGCGTTTATTAAAGCAATAACTTTCTGAACCACAATTTTTGTAAAAGTTAAATGGGATGCAAGTTGCATTTAAATCTCACCAGGCACTATCATCATTCAAACAGCACAAATGTACATAAAAACATATTGTGTGTACATTAGGCTGGCTCGCGAAAAAAATTGTAATAATCGCGTTGGCTTGAAAGCTTACGTTAGTTAAATGGTAGGTACATATCCTTATGCTTCGTTTTCTGCATAAACATCCGCAGTCTAATAATGCGGCTGTGTGCAACGCAATTGACCAAATCAGCCCGGCTAACCTAGCCGTAACCAGGTCTTGGATTCTTCATAGCGGCGGCTCCGCGCGGTTGGGGCTTGTACACTAATTCCAATGGGCCACTTGAGGGCAGTGCGAGACCCTTAAGTCTAAATAAGGGCTTGAAGGAGGGGTTTGTTATGAATTTTATTGTTTTCTGTTGTGAATCGAGCCGATCTAATGCTAAGGCAATAAAGTTGCACGAGTGCCAACATTCGATCTCACATATAAATCTACACATATATATATATGAAGCCGACAAATTGGTGACAGGACGTGCAAACAGACAAACAGAAGCCAACAAATGAATCAACACAAAAAAAAATTTTAAGTAGTAATGGGCATGTATGTATTTATATACATTAGGGTGAGTCAAACAAACCATTCTAAAGAATTTATGGCCTTAAACGGACCTATTTACTGAGAAGAAAATTCTCCCATTTGAAAAATTTTTATTACATTTAAAAGAGGTTTTTTTCAGTAAAAATGTTATTAATATTGAAACCTTTGAGAAAAAAATTTGCAACATTAGGGTAATTTTTTATAGAATTTAATGTCCTACAGGAACATGTCTAGAAAAAATAAGTAGGTATGTAATGTGTATTTAAAAATTTATTTTTTGTCGAAAATATGTAGATGTAAAAAGAGACCCCTAATTTTGGGGAATGGAATAGGGAACTTTTGTTTTCAAAATTGCTTTGCAAAAATATCTGCGAATCAAGGGTGTACGGCGCTATTTTCTTTGTTTGCCTGTAAGGTGGTACGGTCTAATGCGCATACAAATAAATGCATGTTTGTGTAGGCCCTCGTGTGTGAATAAATTTCGCAATGTGTGGGTATCGTCGCTTTCGGTTTGGTAATGAAGTGCACTTTGGCGGCGTTGGAATATATAAAACTTATACATACATGTGAGCTTTTGTGGATAAATGTGTTCATACAAACATACGCACATATATACATATATATACATACATGCGTAAGTGAGTTTGTGCTCAAACAACACTTTCCAATGGAGTCAACACTTTCACGTGAATCAGCAGTCATATATGTATTTATATTCAAACAGAAATGCATTCTCCCACATGCCCACATACATATATAAGTACATACATATATCTAAACATTCATATGTGCATACATACGTACATACATACATATATACCCAGCAGTACAGGGTAGTGACTACAGAACTGGTGAATCGGTAGCTACCAAGTAAACTGCGTCGATTACCGATCGACTACTTGCCGCGTATTTCAGCGATTACTTTTACAAGGCACTGTCCTAGGCGGTAGTCACCATCGACTCTCTCTGCACACTACCAGCGGTTAGTACAGTAGTTACTTGCTTGATTTATGGCCGCCGCTTTTGTAGTCTTTCGCAATTCTACTTCTGACTGGTTCGACTCTGCATTACCATGCGCACTACCACGCCTTAATAGAGTAGCTACTTAGATGGGAGTCAGTGCAGTAGCGGTCCAAAAGTAGCGATTGACTCCAGCAGTACTGGAGGGTATAAATTTAATGCAACCAAATACTTGCATATACTGATGTGCATAAATACACACATTTGTATGTATGTATGTATGTATTGTAGTTAAATGCATGCTTGCACTCCCTTATGGGTACTAAGGGGCAACAAACAGATCCACAACCAAACCAAAACTTTAGAGAGTGCGCCAAATAACTGTAAATTAAATGCATACGCAGCTACCTCGGCTTAAGTTGCCATTGCACACATATGTACACAAAAATACACGCACACTATCGCATACAGCTGAAGATGAGTTTAGGACCGCTTAACGTACGGATTTGACACTTGCACCGAACTGCAGAATTACATTTTCACACAAGCACATACATATACATACATACATACATATGAAAAAATCACACTTGCATACAACTCTACAAGTATGTATGTATTAAATTGTCTGTGTCCGTACGTGTTCGTAAATGCATGCATGAAAGTTAAAAAAAAAATACATATCCAACTAAGTATAGGCGTATTGCCTTGCTGTAGTAAATGTGTTTGTGTGTATGGGTGTGGGTGTGTATGTAAGCTTTGGGTTTCGATTGAATGCACTTACGTTGTATCCTCAACAGAATCGTAATTTGTTCGGAATCCGCAAAAGTTGGTGTGATTCGCATTGCACGGCACGTGTATTCACCAGCATCCGATTGCTGTACATTCTTGATGAAGAGTCCATCGGAGAGCTTTTTGTATTTTGTCGAATTGACAGCTGCGTGGTGTGAAACAAATCAAAATGGCATGTAATTTTCAAATATATACATAAATAGAACTTTGTTATTTTCCGTAATATCACCCAGAGCGCTTTAGAATTTAAAAATAAAGCATACATATGTACATATATGTACATACACACATATACTATATAGTAAATATGTACGCTGAAGCCTCGGAAGCGCAACAGTGGCGCCAGCATTCAATGCTGACACAACCATAGAATTTAATTGTAATTTTACTTTGAAAAACCTTTCAAATAAATATTCGACCTATTATACATACATAAAAAGCGACTAAAAATAAAAAAAAAAAACAATTTTGAAAACCATATATAAATTAAAAGTTAATTTATGGGTTAAAAAATCTAGTTACATTAGCAATTCTCGTTTGTTTGTGCATTCAAAATATTGGTAAATTTAATTAATGTGTGTAAAAAAATAAAATATTTATAAAGAAATATTTTTGTAAAGGTACGAGCATCTGTCTATCCATGTATACAAACATACATACATATATGGGGCATTCCGGCCAAATCGGACACCATTCATAATATTTTTAGGTTACTGTACCAATTGAGAAAGGCATTTCGATATTGTTATAAAATTCACATAAAATTTTCTAATTTTAAATATAAAATGTTGATTTCAAAAAATAAGGTACCGAATAATTTTCTTAAAATTTTTTTCTTAAAAATGAGCACGCATTACATAAAGTTTGAGCCTCTTCCGACAATAATGTAGGGACGCTAAAATGACAAAAACAAAAAAACGCCAAGTCATGTAAACTTAATTTTCGGTAGCAGATTACGTATACACTGTACACTGTTTTTCTAGATCAGATCATTTTCCCAAAATACTTGCATTGCGAATGAAGAAAATCACACTTTAACATGGAAGTACGAGTATATACTAGGAATGTTAATCCCGGGATCCCGGACTTTTTAGAGTCTCGAAAATACCGAACTGCTTGGCAAGTAATCTCGGGATTTTCGGGATTTGTAATTTGCACTGATGGCAATAATAGAAATAGAAACTCCTTTTCTTAACCAGTATTGGCTATATTTCTTTTTTATTTAATAATTAAAATTTTTTTATAAATGTTTAGCTCATTGTACATTGTATAACACCGCACGATATAAAAATGTTTAAACACAAATATCAATACATTCGCGAAACCATGGGCCATATATAGTAAAATTGCGTTTTTAGTTTTTCACTCTGACGTCAGTAATTCCAAATTGATTTAAACATTTCTGACAAATGTGCTTAGAGAAGAAGTGCCTTATTTAAAAAATATCATTGTTGCCCGCACTAAAACGTTTACTGCTGGAAATATTCCTTTTTCCGTATTTTTTTTAAACAAACCATCTTGCAGAGAACTTATTTAATTTGCAATAGCCGGTAAAAAAAAAACATTAGCTTGTAAATAAATTGAAAATTTGTATGGCTCACTTCATTTCAAACGTTTTTCCTTTTGTATTGAAAAATTATAAAAAATAAATTGAGCGAAAACAAAAAGCAAAGCCAAATAAAAGTAAAAGAATCAACATTGAACTGCGTCAAAATGAAAATAAGGGAGCACGAATTTCGATGTGAAGCAAAACTCTCTGGGAAGACAATACCTGTAATTATTGTACCATGAGTGAGCCATACAAATTTTCAATTTATTTACAAGCAAATTTTTTTTCCGGCTTTTGCAAATTGAATGAGTTCTCTGTAAGATGGTTTGTTAAAAAAAAAAAAAAAATACGTGAACATATATGGTATATGGAGTATGGAAAAAGGGATATTTTCAGCCGTAAACGTTTTAGTATTTTAGTAGTTTAGTATTTTGTGGTATTCGGTGAATTTTCCGTAGTTCTATATGAAATTGAAAAAAAAATGATTCTGCTGGTTTTTGCTGTTGAACTAACTATATTTTTATAAAAAATTAGAAAAATTTTATAGGAAAAATATAAATAAAGAAACGTCAAGGTATTCATATATTTGACGCTGACTGTATTTATCGTTATTATATTTAGAGTATTTATCGATATGTTAAAAAATTATTGATATTGGAAATATATCATAAAATTGTTTGTGTTGGAAATTAAGATATTTTTTTTTTATAATTCAAATTTAAATTTAAATGTAAATTTAAAGGTATTACTCTGGCAGCTTATGCATTTCACTTCTGGAAGTATTTCAACCCCATTCAGTTTGAATTCAAAATAACTTTGGTTGAAATTCTCTCACAAGTGAATTGCAGAACCTGCCTGATTACCTCTTAAATGAATTGAAAACATTTAACAACTAAATATTTTTTTTTTGTATAACAGTATGTACAGGTTTCAAATTTGCGTTGCCTGTTCAACTAACTTTATACACCATCATTTTTTTTTTTTATTCATTTAGCTAGTTTTATGCGCTGTTTATTGTCATTTTATATCCCCCTAATTAGCTACTACACCCATTTTACTTATCATTAACTTTCGTGAACAATACTTAAATTTATTTTATTGAAATACGTGTTGTCATTCATTGTATTGCATGCCTACTCACTGTTTATGTATTCGCCATTATATAGCCAGGACACGTCCGGACGGGGATCACCTTTTACAAAACACTTGACCGTGGCATCACGCCCCTCACCCGCCGATTGCACCAGCTCCGTTTTTTCAAAGGAGATTTTCTCTTAAATGCCAAGTTGTTGTTGTTATTGGCGAGGATGATGTGGTAGGTAGTATTTGTTGTAACGAATGAATAGTAGATAGTTTTTTTTTAATGTTGATTTTTTTTTTTTTTGGCTCCATTCAAACAGCAACCGCAATGAGCAAGGCGGGCATCAAAAGAGACCACAACAAAGCAGCGTTTACGAAGCGATAAATGGGGCGTATGAGTAACCAGTGATAATAAGGGTTTTAGTAGAGTAGGTCCGTGTGTGTGTGTGTGTGTGTTCGAATATAATGCACACGAAGTTAGTCGACCACGCCAAGGCAATGATGGCAGCACGAAGAAGCGATGAGTAAGCAAATGTTTTGAAAAAAAATAGAAAGCAATAGAAAAAGGATAGAATATTTAATAATAGACAATAGTACGTACATAGTTACATACATTCATGGGCATAGGCATTTAAATTACATATATTCATGTGTATGTATTTGTGTGCGCATGTGTGCTTGTGTAAGCGATTATTTTCCAATGATAACCCTGGCAAGGAAGTCGTTTGTGACACTTTCAACAATGCTTAAATTAGTACAAGTATTTTGAGGAGTCCTGTATGTGTGAACATAAAAAATCAACACATGAGTGTGTGTGTGTGTGGGTGTATGTGTGTGCGCATGGCCACTTGTATAAATTACGCAAGATAAACCTGCACGGAAGTTAACGTACGATTTACGAGCAGCTCAAAAGACTTCCTCGCCTCGCCGCTGGCTACCGCCACCTCCACCGCCACAGCACCGGCATCCGTTGTTGCTGCAGCTGCTGCTGATGATGCTTCATTGTTGTTATTGTTGTTGTTGGTCACAGTAGCTTCACACGTCCAGTTGCCTTTGTCCGTCAACGCTATGTGCTCAAAGACCAGCGCCAAAAATCCTGTGATTGCATGGAAGGCATAATGAAACGAGTATGGCAGAGAGAGAGAGAGATAGAGAGAAGAGCAAAGTGTAAAGTACAAAAGCAACAAAGACGAAAAAGAAGCAAGAGCAGAATAAGAAGAAGAAGAAGACAAATAATCAGTAGTGAAAACTTAACTGAACTCTGTCGGCGTTGGGGGTGGGGGTGGGGGTATGCGAAAATGAATAAATGAATTGAAAGCGAAAATTTTACTTTATTGCTGTAATCCGAAAAGTTGCCAACACACTGTATACACACTTGTATATAGTACAAATAAGTATGAAAATGTGCGCCACTTCACATACCGGCAAACACAAACGAAAAGGCACGAAAAATTACAGACTCATATACTCGCTTCCATTTTCATAGGGACACATGTAATCGAGATTTATGAAAGGATAATTCTTTTTCGTTTATTTTCACTTGAGTAATTTGCATTTGTATAAGAGTTGTTGATGTGGTTGGTTGGTCGTTGGTTGGTTGGTTGGTCGCATGGTTGGCTGGCATTTCTTTCTACTTTTCTTTCCTGTTACTTGCACCGTCAGCACGTCAACATCAGTGGCATAGTAATTTGCGTGAAGATCAATGGCTCATCATTTGGGTTTTGAAAGTTTTCAAGCAAGCCAGCATGCTGACCCAAGTAAATAGAACATATTTATGTACATATGTATGTATGACTGTACACTAGACTGGGCCGCTGCCCATACGAGAGAAAAAATATGTAATTATCAGGCATGTGCTGAAAACTGTTTTCGCATGAATTTCGTTTAGGATTAAGACAAATGAAAGACAAGAGATGGCAAGATAGGTCGAAATATTTTAGCACAAAAGTTTTATAAAAAAGGTGTCTCGTTCACCACTCGTGGTCGTGAAAAGCTATTTTGAGAGAAAGCACTTGCATATTATTTAGCTCGAGTCGCTGCAACATTCACAAAAGCCGAGTGAGCAAAGCACAGGCTTGCCGCTTAAGAGACCCAAGTTCGAGTCCTCGGACAGTAAAATTAAAAAAAAAAATGTATTTACATTTATTTTCCTAATTTAATTTTCTTTTAATTGAGATTAAGATTATTGTTATTTTTTTAATTTCATTTTATTTTTAGGAAATCATTCTTCTTTTTTCTTCTTTTAATTTTTATTTTTTCTTTTTTCTTATTAATTTTTTATAATTTTTAAATTTTATTGTTTAAAAAAGAAAAAAATTATTTTTTTGATTACATATTTATTTAGTTTTTTTAGTTTAATTTGTTTTTCTTTTGCTAATTTCATTTGTCTTAATTTTTATTGTATTGTTTTAAAATTAAAAATATATTTCTTTCATTTAATTTAATTTTTAGAAACTTATTTTTTTTTCTTTTTTTAATTTAAGTTTCCTTTAATTGGTAGAAGTTGAAGTTGGTTGAAGTTGGACACAGAGTATTCCTATTGGACAATATCCTGCCAAGACATAAAGATCAGTGCAGAGCGTTGGCGCTTGGTTAGCACAGGAAACTCCTTTGATCGCCTATGGACCACGGCCGGCGAGAAGGACCTTACATCTATGCAAGTTGCGGTTTTCCATCCAGCTCATTTGTACAGGAATATTTCCAATGGGATCCATAGCACTCAAAAATACCTTTTCAATTATGTAGATAACACATTTTAAAATCGGGTATAAAATAAAATTATTATGAAGAAAACTCGGTATTTGCTGCTGGAAATTTGTATGACTACAAAAACTTAACCAAGTAAGCTATTCAACTGAAGGGGGCCTCGCACTTTATTAAACAATTTCTTTTAACGACCCAGGCTAATGTCCATGCATTGCATACTAACGAGACACGTTCGATTGTTAGTAGCAATACGACCCAGGGTGGAGCGATTTTGCCACTTTTAGGAGCTACTGATATCAATTCATTACTCATTACTTATTCAATCAGCAGGGAGTGCAGGTACTACCTATGCCAATGATGTGGTAATTCTTGTAGCCGGCCAATTTGCTCCTGTGTTGAGCAAAATCGCGGATGGAGATAAGTGTGGTCGGTAGGCTAAGCTATAGAGCCTTAGAGTCAACACAGAAAAAAAACACAGAATTACTTCTAGATCCCGAAACCGTCTTTAGACCTTATTCATTCAGTTTATAGAAGCAAAATTGGTGTTTTAAAATTACCTTTTAAATTTTACCATTGTTTTGGGAATCCCAAAAGTTAATTTGACTGCATTAGCAACTTGCTTGGTCATTCCAATTTGAAATTTAGCAAGAGTCAACCGAAACTCGGGTACCAGAGGTCGTATGAGTCATCTTGGTTCTGCTGCTGGGAATTTTCTTTATGTATAAATTTGCAGATTTCTATTGAAATATTGTCTACTTCGGCGTTAGTCAGATTCGGGCTCGTCAGCTTTGAAGTTTTCTTATATGTATATCAAAGTGCTCTGAAGCCCGAAAATTGTATACCCGAACAATGTCTTAGGTATGTCGCTAGGAAGTCGACGGCATTTTACAAGAATTAGGTAGCCAATTGGCTTTAAATTAACATGTTGATATACTCAGTGAGCATATCTCGTATCTGTACGAGTTATACAGGCTTCAATAGCCATAAGTTCGGGTAAGTTCAAAAAGATATACATAGCTCAATTACCTACGGGTCTTCTTCTGACTTCATATGGCCTGTTTTCTGCAAGTTTACGCCTGTCTTATTCAGCGAGTTTAATCATGAATGAGCTGTAATCGATTAAGAGATTCGATCGTCTCTTGTTCGTATGGTTCTCGAGGTAATATCCTTAATGAACTGAAAAAAATGCAAGCCTGGCAGGGAATACAGGATATGGGATAGACATGGCCTGACTTAGTGGAGCGGGGACTCCGACGCCTTACCCACCACAGGTTTACCTTTTACCTACGCAGAAGAAGGAAGATGAGACCTTGTAGTGAGCATAGGAGCGTTGCCAGTTCGTGTCAGTACTTCCAAAATCTGATAGAGCCGGCTCGATTTTTCTGCATAACCAGAACCAGATACCAGCATACAAATATCGACCAAGCTACTTAGTTGTACTCCAAAGAAAGAACGGAGATGCAAATTGATCAGGTTGTGATAGACGATTTTAGCGCCGGTATTGAATAAGAACTTAACGAAATTACCTGGATATCAATTTGAAAAAAATGCCAGCAGCAAGACATAGTCAAAGGGAAGAGACAATTAAAGTGGGCAATGGCAATAGCGCGAAAGTGGGAGTATAATTAATAGCGAGTTAGGTTGACATGACGATGAAAGGGCGAACAACTCCCAAAAAATTTGTCACAATATCATTTGTTCGCTTGATTTGTATTGTGAAATAATTACAATTGTTAGAGCCAAAATCAATGGAGAAACTTATTAACATACAAGTACATAGAATAGCATGCAGACACATTGGCGGCATACGTTGATGGAATAACACACACATATGTATGAGTATGTATGTAGCAGAAAAATGTATAAGAACACCATTACAGTTGCTAAGTTACATTTCTTCACTAGAATTTGTACGTTTGCTTTTTCTACTAATGAAACTAAGAAAGAAATTAATGAATGTAATGAATGGCAATATTTGCGCAGAATTCGTAAACAACTTTTTTTTTTTACCCACCAGTTTTCTTTTCGATATGCACGCGCCCTTTTGAATTCTCTCTTGCCACCCCTTTGGGGTCTTTCCACTTCGCACTCACATCTTTTTGTACTGTTTTACAGAATATAATGAAGGAATCATTTACAAAATGTGTGATAGATGGTGTTGAGGGTGCCAAAGTTAGCCAACTGCCATCCAATTGACCAAGTACAGCAACTGCAAAAAAATTAGAGAGAAAAAAGTGCAATCAATAGACAAGCAAGACAAATTTATACGTAGGTACATGTGTATGTACATTAGACTGCATCACCAAAAAAAGTTGCGGTTTTTTCGCCGGGATTACAAAACTATTATATGCTAAGACGTCCACCAAAATATTTCGGAAAAATATTAAGCTTTAAGTGAGCTGGGCCGATTTGAAAATACTTAAAATACTTCCAAAAATGGAGTTTTTTATGAATAAAAATAGTTTCTTAAAGAAGTTTTTGAAAAAAGTCCCCTCAGATGACAAAACAGATTAAGCTTATAAAATCTGCATAAAATTGTTTAAAAATCTTTCCAACGGAATCGTAATAATGAGATTTTTCATGCTGTTTTTTTTTTACTTTTTTCAACAATTTTTTTAGGAAAATCTTGAATAACTGTGCCACAACTATTCTGATTTAGACTTATGGGATCCCAGTAGAAAGGTATTTTCCCACTGTTTTTATTTCTGGCCAAAAAAAAACATTCGTGTACCATTTTTTTATTTTTTTTTTCAAATACCAACACATCTTAATTCCACTTTGAATGGCGTTCGTTCATCCTACCTTTCTCTTTCATCGCTTGAATGAGTTTACAAGCAAAGAAATATAGAGGGTGAGAAAATACCTTTTAAATGACACCTCACAACCCTAAATCGGAAGAGTTAAGGTTCAGTTATTCAAGTTTTTCTTATACCAATCTCTGAAAAAATTAAAAAAACAGCATCAAAAATCTAATTTTTTTTTTTATTCTTTTAAAAATATTTTTATGCAAATTTTTTAAGCTTAAACCGTCATTTGAGGTAATTAAAAAAAAATTATTTAAGAAACTATTTTTATTTAAAAAAAACTCCATTTTTGCAGGTATTTTCAAATCGGTCCAGCTTACGTAAATCTTAATATTTTTCCGAAATATTTTGGTGGGCGTCTTAAAATATAATAGATTTTATAATTCTAATGGAAACACAGTAGCGATTTTTTTTTTTGTATGGGGAGTGATGCACTCTAATGTACATATATGTATATGTAATATATTGTTTTTCTTTTTATGTTTGAAGGTGTATGATTGAGAAGAAATGCTAAAATTATAAATAATTGTTTTATTCTAAATAAATTACAAAAAACCGAATCACGACTTCCTAAAAGCAATAAGCTGAGGCCACCAGACTGAGTGCTCTTTATGGAGGTCATGTGCTTGTAAATGATGTGATCCTAATATAATGCTAATGCTTCTTCCTGCCACTTCATTAACCATGATTCCACTACGTCTCATCGTGGAGATAAGGCAGATCTACATAGAAGCGCCTCAAGAGCCCCAGCTCGTTCCCTCATCTCTGACCTTTTGAATAGCTTTTTATCATTGAAGGAATAGTTTTACGACGTTCTGTTGGAATTAGCAGGGATCAAACGATACTAGTAAATATATTTGTTATTCATGACTCCTTAATTGCCAGCAAAAACCGCTAGAAGGCGACAAAGACGATGTAATGCAAAGGATATACGCCGCAATCGCTGTTCGAGTGGAAGAGTAAACTGAATGAATGTTCAGTACAGACGTTTCAACGCGATGTTAAACTCACTGAGTAACTCTATTAGACCCTATTCACATGACCGGCGCTTGTCATGTGAACAGGGTCTTATTCTTCGCGCTGGAAAGACTAGCGGAAACTCTAAAGGCAGGGTGGTCTAGCTCTGTTATTGAAGGAAAGAATAAAAGACGAAAAAGAGTTCCACTAAGAGTTCATTACAAAAAATAATTTTTTAAGCAGGGATCACACGATGAAATTATTCATAAACCACATATACATCACTTTTAGATAGGCCTGATAGTTTCTGAGAAATAAATTAACAAAAAATAAAAACAGCAAAACAGTCGTTATTTTCTCATTTATCCCCGCTTAAAAATTACATTTTTTTAATTTCTTCATGAAAGAAGCATAAAATCTGGAGTTATTAATTAATTTCTTAGAAACTTACAGGCCTATCGGCTTATGGAAAATTTAATTGGCTTTCTTTTGCCATACTTCGTATTACGATTGTGTAATTGGTTAGTTAGATATAGGTGATTAACTGGAACCACTCTTTTTTTAAGCTGAATAACGGTAAATCGCAAATATCTCCAAAACGTATCCATAGAAAAAAATTAACTATATTTTCGGAATCACCGAGTAATTCTACATAGGAATTGTATAGTGACGTCTGGAGAACAAAAACCATCTTTTTCTGTAAATACGTGTGTATGTATGTATATGCATGTATAATTTCGCAAAATTATTTACCTACGCAATGCGTATATGTCCGTTAGTTCTGTGCAATGACGCCATGCTTTTTTTACACGTGTACATTAGAGAGGTCCAAAAAAAAATAAAAATTTTACCAGATAGGGTTTGGGGCACCTTCCAAAATTTTTCCTCTTGCCGAAAGAGGTGCTGGTACCAAACTTTACGTTTCTAAGTAAAAATTTAGTGGATGCCCATGATGCTCATATTTTACTCTAGAAGTATTGTGTACATATGTATATTAAACAAAAAATTGCTTAAATAACCTACCTGACTTTGCACATCGGTGATGCGGGTTCGATCTCTGCTGAAGTCTAGAAAAAAGAAGCCTGATGAGGAGATGTGGTGATCTCCGAAATAGCTGCTATAACTTCTACCGCTTAGACTTTGTTGCTTTTTCAATTTCCCTAATAAACAAAATCGTAGTACAAAGCTCAATAAAAATATTGTAATAACCTAAGAATATTTCAAATTTAAATTATCTAAAAAAATATCACAAGCTTCAGTTGTCATGGCAACAGTCGCTTTTTATAAAAATGACCAATATTTTTGCCAGTTTCATAGCAATCCAGTAGCGCATTTCAAGGTTGTTGAGCACCCTGTATTGGTTGCAGTAGAAAACTGAAAGTTGGTATAGATGTTACAAATATCAAAAAAACTAAGGGGGTGCCCTAAATTTCGTTGAGATAACTAACTGTTTACTCGAGTTATCGTGTGCACGGACGAAGGGACAGACATGGCTTAGTCGACTTCTTCTTTCTGTCTCGATTAATTTAGACTATTACAAACAACCGTTATGCGTGCAAAGTTGTAATACCGTTGTATAAAAGTGCGCTCGGGTATAAAAACCTGAAAAATTATGTTAAAAAAAATATATATTTTAAATATTTTGGCCTACTCAGTATCTCGAAATTATATAAAAATAATATTTTGGAAATGAATTTAAAAAAAAAAAATACTTTTTAATAGCCGTTTTGACAAGCAATTTTTGTAAGTGTGAGTTTCCGTTGTAAATTCGAATTAAAAAAAAAAAAAAACTTTTTCACTTAAATCGCTTAGATGAAATGTGTATGCATTACACTGTGTCAAATAAAACGAATGTTTCTTTTCTTTGGGTTTCATATGAGAACTTCGTTGTCAGTAACAAAAAATAATTGTGGCAAAATTTCAGCCCTCTATCTTCATTTTTCAGTAAGCGCTCGTAAAAATGTGAATTTTTTTATGAAAAATGTTTTTCCCGCTACCTGTTTTTTACGATCTTCTTGTAGACCATTCAATTTTAGTATAACGAGTGCAATTTTTAAGTAGCAAGGACTTACCGTTGATTTTTGGCAATTTTTTTTGTTGACGGTGTCAGTCATTTTCTTCCATACGAAGTGTGTCCGACGACTTGTTTATATGGAAAAAATAAACGAAACCCTTCAACGAAAAACTGCCAAAAATCAACGGTAATTACTAGCCACTTGAAACTTGTTGTACTAAAAGTCAATGGGCTATAATTTTTTTTTATGTAGCGGAAAAAAATTTGTTTCATTAAAAATATGTATGAAGATAGGCCACAGCTATTTTTTTTTGTTCCCAACAATGAAATTTTCATATGAGAACGAACGAAAAAAAATAGTTGTTTTGTTTCGCTGCATTAATAAGATGCAAAGTATTACAAAGAAACGAGGCAACTCTGATCAAAAATATTTTTTTCCATTAAAGTGCTCAAAAATACCTTTCATTTGATATCCATATCAAGTTGGTTTAGCTAAATTTTGTAGAATCGAAAACAAGTGGCAACCTTACACTAATATCCCAAGGGATAACACTCACTTTATAGGCAACGCATTGTTAAGGGCTTTTTAGTACCCATAACTAGTAGTTTTGCATCTTAGTTTTCTCATCAATGAATTAAATAAATACACTATGGAAAATAGGTGGCAACCCTGTGCATGTTTCTTCAGTTTGTAACAATTTCGAATATTCTCGGAGATAACACCTACATATCTAGATAAGCATAAAATGCAAAACATTATCTGAACACAAAATTTCCACAAAATCGTTTGAGTCGTTTCCGAGAAACCTATGGATAGATAAAATTTTACCCACCCCAAATATCATACCGAAATTAATATTTTTATGTTCCGGCAGCACATTAATGCGGTATTAATAAATTTACGACGAAAGAACGGTTTTAGGGATTGCGCAGGAACTGTAAAGCGCAAAATTATTAAGCTTTAGTAGTTTCTTATTAATTTGATCAGGCTATAAAGTTGCTTTTGTAAAAAATTTTAGTTTTCAATTAAATAAATGAGCAAAAACAACATCATAAAAAATGTTACACTTTCGTTTTGTTTTTGCTTGAATTTTCACGAGAATTTCGCTCAAACCTATCATAACTATGTATGTATGTATGTATTCAATGTACGTACACTACATTGTAAATTTACTACATACTTTCGATTTTCATCCTTTGTAGTTACAGTAACTTGCCCAACTTTTTATTGCTGAAATTGTTTGCTGCTCCTTTAATGGAGCAAATTCGCAGCACGCCTGAGCACATAATAAGGTTTTACGCTTTCTTTGAACATGTTTGTATTGCTTTGTATGTACATATGTATGTATGGATGTATGGATGTATGTATGTATGTATGCATTTGCTGCATTTCAATTTAAAATGGGTTTGCAACAATTTGCCTGCAGTGGCTAGTTAATGTTGAAGCAATTGCAACAATATAAGGTAATGCCTTATTTATTGGATGTAAACTCAAGCGAAAATATCACTTCCCCATTCGACACACACAACAAAATTACTGCTTTGATTTGAAGAATTTTTACTATTCACAATAAAAATAGTTTTGTTTGATATTGCAAAATGTTCAATCACAGATTTTATTGTCGAAAATATGACTTGCATGTTTTACTTTCCAAAGTGCTCTTTAAATCAAGGAATGCTAAGAAAGTCGATGAAATAAAAGTTGCTGCTTAAAAAAGTTACACGGTTAAAAATTTCGGTTTTAATTTTAAACTTTTTGGACTACATATATGACCGAACTAAATTCAGTTTCAAATACAAACCTTCCAAATTGCTTAAAACTATTGACTGGTTTAAAAAGCAGACTATGAAAGATTAAAAAAGGCAGTAGTTGCAGCGCGGTTTAAAAATTAAACCCCAATTTTTGACCGTGTAGTAATTTCGGTACTACATAATACTTCATACTTCTCCATTCCTACTACTACTTTTTCCGGTACATTTCGAGACATTTAGAATCTTGGATTTTCTGCCACCCTCAGACCACTGTGCGGCTTTCTCTAAAACGGATGTCGGAAACATTCCCGCTTACATATGGCCCATCTTTATGTTATGGTATTGGCAGGCTTTCTGGCCATTGCTACTGGATCTCTTGTTAAAAATCGATCATCCGGCTATTCGGTTCGTCAAATAGGCGAATTCGACTAGTCGTTCACTTTCGAATAAACGCTTACCATCGAGTAGTCTGAAAATCGAGTAGCCGAAATTATTCGATTCGTCGAAAGGAAACTTTAGTCGATTAAGTGAAGTTTTTAAACCACTTTAGCTAATCAATTAGTCGACTAGTCGATTAACAAGAGCTCTAATTGCCTTCTTTACCTAAGTTTAGGTAATTCTTCTCAAACTAAGTATGCTGGAAATAAACATAACAACTCCGGTTTTCACAAGACTTGCTTAGATGAGAATGGCAAAAAGAAGAGTAAATGCTTTGGGTAGTTATTTCTTTGGCGAACTAAATGATTTCACTAAAGTATATATTAGGAGTCCCTTTAGATTTTTATTGAGCTCCAAGTATTTATAGGGGATTTTAAACCCCTCACACAATTCAGCGTCTAAGAGATTTCCATCAGGTCGACTGCCGCCTAAATCAGCCTGAAGCGAAATGAAAATCAGTTTAGTATACCCAAAAGCTTCATCGTTACTGCCGCACAGTGTGAAATTTGAACTATTTTCGTGACAAATTTTAACGAGAACAGCTAGTTTCGATTTCCAAACTGTATACCGTTATGCGAACCCATTTAATGATATCACTAAATCTGCACTTTTTTCACTCCAAATATCAGAATAACGAATTATTCACAAGTCCATCGAACGTAAAACGGTTTCACCAACTTCAACACACTATAACCGTTGACATTTGAACATTATGAATGCATTAGACGTAGACAAAGAAAAAAAGGACATTTTCAAATGGCTAAAACAGGCGTAACGCAAATAAAATGCAAAAATAAAAAGTAAAAATGTGAATTAAAATTATAATGCAAAAAGCCTAAATATATGCAATGTAAAGTAATTAGCGTGTTATTTATGTTAGTACATTTATGTATATGTATTTAGGTGTCTACATTAGACCATACCACCTTATAAGCAAAAAAAAAAAATAAAAATAAGTATTTTTGCAATTTATAAAAAAAAAAATGTTACCCCCGACAATAAGGATTTTTTAATACTCTAATAATCAAAATACATTCTTTAAGCAACCGTATAATGATTTTTGGTGGGCTTTAATTTACTGGCATTATTTATTAATTTATTTAATATATGGTCTACGAACAAACAATTCTTACAGATTACTAACAAAATTTAATAATATTATATAAAAGATTTCAAAAGATCAATAAAAACATCTTTAGACAAAAAAAAAATCAAGCTCGACAAAAGATGAGATCTGGTTAAATTGTTTAAGGGCGCGGGCAATTGATGCATTTCACGCATAATTTATATACTATTAATGCCATAAAAATGGTAAAAATTTCGAAGTTCACTTCTTGGAACATTAAAATTTATTTTCCCACGAAGGGCAGCACAACCAAAATCTCCCTGGATAATGCCCAAGGAACACTCTTTGAATTCGCTCAATCCTTTAGATTGAAAATTGTTGAAATGCACCTCAAGCTGATAAGAACTGCGATCTGTTGTGTAAGAAATATAGTAAAATTGTCTCCTCGTGGCAAGAACAATGATATATCATACTTTAAGATCCGGCTGTAAATGCCGAAGATAGAGACAAAAAAAATTTTTTTTTTTTTTAGACACAGGGGCGAACTTTTTTTTTTGGTACGGTCTAATGTGCATATATAGTACTATATGTGCGTGGATGGGTGTGTGTATGTATGCTTAAATATGTGTGCCTCATTTTACATGAAAGTACGCATTACCATTTTGACTGACAAGTAGGACGAGTAAATGTAATAGAAATAATAAATCCATTTCTGTTGTTGTTGTTTCGCTTATTATTCTAACACGCGTACTGTTATGTTGTTTTTGTCGCTGTTTTATATATTTTATATCTGCTTATCCGCTTGTTGTTGTTGTTGTTGTTTCTTTTGTTGTGGTTGTCACATTAAACGTAATCCACTAAACTACGCACTTCGGGTTTGTGTTGCGCTCTGCTGGAACTAAGTTTGCTGGCCAGTAATGGCCTATGCTGATGTGTTGCTAAATTATCCTTTTCAATTTGTACGTAATCCTTTATGGACAATTACATAAATCCATGTTGTATACGATGCTTATTGCCGCCGAATGGTTTGTGGAGCACATACATACATACATATGTACATACATACATAGTACTGGTGGAGAGAAAATGTTTTTCACTGTTATTACCACTTTTTAATGTTTTACATAACATTTTCTTTTAGACGCAGTTTACACGAGGCAACATATAATTTGTAGGAGCGAGAGCGACAGGGTAAATAGAGGTTACCGAGTCGGTAGTGTTCGAACAACACGCTTTGAGCTCTCCTGCGTTACCGCGCGTAAACTCCGTGTTAGGAAATTATTTAATATGTTAAAATTTTTGTTTCAATTAGAAATTTTGTTATTTTATTTTATTTTATTTTATTTTATTTTATTTTATTTTATTTTATTTTATTTTATTTTATT